AGAAGCGCAAGGAAACACCGTTTACCTTCCCGCCGAAGCGGTACCTATTTATCTACTTGCACTTTTTGTGCTTTCGAACTGCTAGGTTGGCAGGAGCAAGGACCGAGCAACGAGGGCTCACCCCATCGTGGGGATTCGAACCTCCAACCTTCTGATTGGCAAGTCCTAGGCTCTGTGGTTTAACCCACAGCGCCACCCGCGTCCCTGCATGGTATCTCCTTCAAAAAACAACCAGACCATTGCAAAAATAAGATTATTCATGAAGAAGAAGTGGAATTCAGAGGAGGACACAGTGCCACTGATCACTGTTTCACTCTGAACCGTATTATAAGGAAATATACTAAGAACAATCTTTATGTAGCCTTTATTGATCTTTCTGCTGCATTCGACTCTATTAATCGAAACGGACTGTGGGAGAAATTTCAAATTGCTAACATCGACTGCAGACTTCTGCTGTTGACCCAAGAACCATACAGAAATGAGGGTCAAAGTAGGTTTAAATGGTGGTATGACTGATACTTTTAAAATGTCACAAGGAGTGAAGCAAGGTTGCTTTCTGACTCCCATTCTTTTAAACTTTTATATTAATGATTTGGTGCCATGTAAACAATGCCAATGCAAACTTTAACTCTATCCAGTAAGTAGGAACAGAAAGATCTCAATATTTCATGTATCCAGATTATTTAGTGTTCCTCTTTCTTGATTATGTCTCCAAAATTTCTTGGAGGTGTTCAGTGCATACTTTCTATAAATTATTCTTAAGACCAATGTTATGATTTTTGGCACAGGCCTGTATATAAATGGTGCTTAGATCAGAAAACTACAGTCGGTAGAGCATGAGAACCATTTCGATCATTTAGATACGTGGACATATTCTTTAATGAAGCCCTGTCTTGGAAGTGTCATATAGAGGCAGTGAGAGTCAAAGCACAGAAAACCATAGGGGCATTGATAAAGTTCTATTACAATAAAGGAGGGCAGCTGATTGAACCTGCCTTAAAGATATTTGGTAGCAAAGTGCTTACTCATAGGCTCTGTGGTTTGAACTCCATTAAAGGTTTGGAAACTGTGCAGAATAAGTTCTTTTGGAAGCTAAACTCTCTACCTTCAGGAACATCAACAGCTCTTTTTTGTACAGAATCTGTTGTTGTTGCTTAGTCATTTAGTCGTGTCCTACTCTTCGTGACTCCATGGACCAGAGCATTTCAAGCACTCCTGTCTGTAGAGAATCTGGGTAGCCACATTAAGGCAGGAGCAGACTGCACTCAGTTAAAGTATATTTTAAAAGTTGCTACAATGCCTGTTAAGCATTTCCCTGCACTGTGTTATACAGAATTGGGTGATAACCAACTCTGGAAATCAGCTTATCAAGATGTTTAACACTATTAATATTTTCCGGAACTCTGCTTTGACATTGAATAAATGTCAACTAAGGGATTGGCTCTTAGCTGCAACTAATTTGAAACACCAAATTTCCCCCTTGATATCTGTTCTTGAGAACAGAGCATTTTAGAGTTAGTTATCTGACCAAACTCTCACCAGTTTCCTTAAGAAATGCCTTTACTGAGCTGTGTTTCCAGTTGAAGCCCACTGCAGTCTGGGATGGCTGCTACATACAACCAAGGTCCTGTACATAGACTGACTTTTTATTTGTGGTCAACCTCAGGTGGAAGACATAACTCATTATCTGTTAGCCTGCCCCTTATATAGGGATCCAAGAGATCACTTTCCAAAAACCTTTGTTCACCCAAGCTAGCAGGCACATCCTGGCAGAAATGGTACAGTTTCTTTTGAGTGACAATAATAGCTTCATCACACAAAGAGTGATACTATATGCAGTAGTTGCAAAAAAAAGAAAGAAAAAATCAGGAAAAGGGAGATACAGTGGTACCTCAGGTTAAGTACTTAATTCGTTCCGGAGTCCGTTCTTAACCTGAAACTGTTCTTAACCTGAAGCACCACTTTAGCTAATGGGGCCTCCTGCTGCCGCCGCGCCGCCGAAGCATGATTTCTGTTCCCATCCTGAAGCAAAGTTCTTAACCTGAAGCACTATTTCTGGGTTAGCGGAGTCTGTAACTTGAAGCGTCTGTAACCTGAAGCATATGTAACCCGAGGTACCACTGTAGATGGAATTGCTATAAATTGTTGTGGCGATTTGGAGATCTAATCTTAAATCAAGATGGATTTGAGTTTGTTGGTGTCTCTGGTAACTTACATCCATGGGTGTTAGCAAATTAGATTTTTAAAAGGCGGAATAATTTTAGAATTGGAGCTGTCAGAGATGCACAAGGAAACTGTGTTTTAATGCTCAGGGACTTGGCAAAGTCTCTTTTATATTATGGATGTATGTTCTGTATTATTTTATTAATGTAGTTGCCTAATACGGGTTTGTCATGGCCTTTGGCCGGAGCAATAAACTCAGGAAAATGAACATGCAGGTACAGTGTCACGGGTGAACTGCACCCATCGGAATGCACTGAGTTTGAGGCAACGCTGGATGGTTAAATGAAAGCTTTTGTGGTGTTTTGACCCCAGTGCCCTTTTCACACATGCAGATTGTCGTCAGTTGTTGAGTGATGAACGGGATATATATTATCTCTCCCCACAACTACTGACACTCTCTCTCTCTCTCTCTTTTTCTTGGACCTTTTAACACTCCCCCCAACCCCTCCTTTGCAGGTATACCTTCACCGGCATTTACACTTTTGAATCATTGATAAAAATTCTGGCGAGAGGATTTTGTATGACGGAATTCACCTTCCTCCGGGACCCATGGAACTGGCTAGATTTTTCTGTTATTGTCATGGCGTAAGTAGCATTTTTCTCATTCCTCTCCTAAAAGGCGATTGGCTAGATCAGGACCGAGGTTTTCTTCCCCTGCTCCCATAAACTCCCCGTGACTTCCCTGCTATCCTAGCAAGAAATTCATGTGCTTTAACGGTCCTGGAGCAACGAGGCTGATATGGGATTCTTTTGTTCTTTCTCAGTTGTGCAGGCAACCCATGTCCACCCATTTAACCCAATCCAGGGCTCTTGCTGGAATGGAATTTATTAACCACTTTTATTGATGTAGTAGCCCCAACACATGGGACATGTTGCAAGTCCCAGAGCCCAGAAAAGCAGCTATTTTCACCTGCACCAAGAGAACCAAAATGGCATCAACAGTGATTTAGATTAGAATAAGTTGAAGACTTAATCAATCCAGTTTATGGCTCCTGGGAAATCTGCCTCAAATGGAGGTCCTTCTTCAGATAAGAAACAGTCCAGTGTGGGGAGTCTAGTTTCGACTACTTTGACTGGACTCCCAGGCAATTCCCAGCCTGCTTAGAAACTGTCTTTGCATGGCCATGACCAATGACATGTCTGTAGCGCAGACTTAAAGTGGATAGGATAGAGATCCGCTCTCCTCAGAGAACCCCGGGAATTGCAGATCCATGAAATGTGGAGGATCTGGGAACTCCAGCAACCTACAAATCTTGTGTTTTTCTCTTGTCAGAGAATCCTGGGAACTGTGAGGTAGGGGGGAGGATACAGGATCTCTAATGACAGACTTGGATTCCCATTACCACCTCTGGAATGATCTTGTGTCATAATTTGGCATTATTCATTCCAAGGGGAGTTCTAGGAGAGAGAGAAATATCCCACCCCCCTCACTGGCAGCTTGCCAGTTGTGCTTCCCATTCCCATCCCAGAATAGCCCTCAAAACACCCTGAAATGCAAACTAGGAGAGGTGCATTTCATTTACTTACTTATAATTAAGTGTTTATTAACTGCTCGATATTTCAAAAGAAGAAAAAGAAAAAGACCATTTAAGCAGTTTTCACTATGTGCTGTATCAGTTGAAACAGAAATACGACCTAAAACCGATAAAACAGCATTCCTCCATTGCAAGAGGTTGGCATAGGGACCCTTTGTGTTCCTTCCAGCTCCACAATTCTGTGAATCTAGCAGTATAAAACATATGGAAGCCAATAAAATAGAGAGCCAGGGCATTCATAGACATCAAGCAGGGCTCAGTCTTATGGGTCAGGAAAAGTCTGGGTCAAAACTTATGTCCTTACAAAACCTCTGAAGCAGCTGGTGGTTGCTTCTTCACATACGGCAGAAGGAAGTTCACTCCACAGGACAACAGAAAATATCCATTTGGGGGACGCCACCCGTTGACATTCTGTAGAGCAGTATTTCCCCAGACGATCTTTTGCCCATCACTTTCATCGCGAATGCTTCTCCCCTCACCTCCAAAACTGGGACCGAACAGCTGAAATTTCAGCTTGGCTCCAGCAAATTCTTCCTTCCTTCATTGCGTACACCTGTAGTTTTACCTGTGTGAACATGCTGAAAGCCTGCACAGCCGTTTCCCTTGGCGGCGAGGCTCCTTTAGAACTGCTGCTGGTAACAGATTGTAGGGGGTTTCCCCCCCGCTAGCATAGCTTCAAGATCAAATGCCCACTTTGGCTTTCAAACAGGGCAAGCAACAGCAGAGTTTTTATTTATTAATCAGAACTGTTTATACCCCACCTTTCAGGAAGCTCCCAAAGCGGCTTCAAGGTGCACTTCAAACCACAATAAACAATATCAACACGTAGGGCAGGTCATTGGGATCCTTTCCCACAGGGCAGCTGATGGTAGATGGTCCTTTGTGGGGAGGAGACCGTCCACCTGGACTTCATCTCCCCTTGCCTCCCTCCATCTCCTGGAATCCCTTCCTCCTTCCTCCTCTTTCCCCTCCAGTTCTTTCCACCTCTGGCTGCTGGAGAGGGATCATGGCTCAGGGCTTCAGTGTCTGCTTTGCATGCTTCCAGGTTCAATCCCCAGCCTCTCCAGGTAGCTCTGGGGCACCCCATGTCTGAAACCCTGGAGAGCTTCTGCCAGTCAGTGTAGACAATACACTGAGCTAGATGGGCCAAATTCTGGACTCAGTATAACACAGCTTCTTAATCACTTGGGGGAAAGCCATCTGCTTTGCACGTAGAAGGTCCCACATTGCAATTGCTGACACGTCCAGGTGGGATAGCTCAGTCAGTAGAGCATGAAACTCTTAATCTCAGGGTCATTGGTTTGAGTCCCACGATGGGCAAAAGATTCCTGGACTAGATGACACTTTTTTGGTCCTTTCCATCACTACAATTCTATGACCAGGGGGCCTGAAATTTATTGTTTATTTTATTTATTTATTTATTAAATTTGCATACCGCCCTTAATCTGTAGATCTCAGGGTGCTTCACTACATAATAAGAACAACAACAGCAATTTATTATTTGTACCCCACTCATCTAAGTGGTGCTGTGGGTTAAACCACAGAGCCTAGGGCTTGCTGATCAGAAGGTCGGGGGTTCGAATCCCCGCGACGGGGTGAGCTCCCGTTGCTCTGTCCCTGCTCCTGCCAACCTAGCAGTTCAAAAGCACATCAAAGTGCAAGTAGATAAATAGGTACCGCTCTGGCGGGAAGGTAAACGGCGTTTCCCTGCGCTGCTCTGGTTCGCCAGAAGCGGCTTAGTCATACTAGCCACATGACCCGGAAGCTGTTCGCCGGCTCCCTCGGCCAATAAAGTGAGATGAGCGCCACAACCCCAGAGTCGGTCACGACTGGACCTAATGGTCAGGGGTCCCTTTACCTTTACCTTTACATCTGACTGGGTGGCTTCCAGCATGTATAAAAACAAGAACAAAAACCCCTACAAACCAATAACCCCCACCCCCAGACCCCCTCTCCCAAGAATGCATTTGAAAGGGAAGTCCTGGAAAGCCACTGCAGTCAGTCTAGACAGTACTGAGCTGGAACTATCAGAGATGTGTCGGTATTATTATTATTATTATTTCATTTATATGCCGCCTTTCACCATAAGATCATAGAATCATAGAATCATAGAATCATAGAGTTGGAAGAGACCACAAGGGCCATCGAGTCCAACCCCCTGCCAAGCAGGAAACACCATCAGAGCACTCCTGACATATGGTTGTCAAGCCTCTGCTTAAAGACCTCCAAAGAAGGAGACTCCACCACACTCCTTGGCAGTAAATTCCACTGTCGAACAGCTCTTACTGTCAGGAAGTTCTTCCTAATGTTTAGGTGGAATCTTCTTTCTTGTAGTTGGGATCCATTGCTCCGTGTCCGCTTCTCTGGAGCAGCAGAAAACAACCTTTCTCCCTCCTCTATGTGACATCCTTTTATATTTTGAACATGGCTATCATATCACCCCTTAACCTCCTCTTCAGGGCAGTTCACAGAATAACAAACAGGTAAATAATTAAAACAATACAGCAAAACAATAACCCCCCCCTTTCCCACAGACACATTTAAAAGGCTGTGGAATATTAATCAGGTATGTTACAACTTCCTATGCGCCTATGCTGATGTGCTAGGTAGCGTGGTAGACTTGCATGGTACCGCCCTACTGATTCTTTCCAAGTTTTGCCACCAACAGTTGTGGTTTTTTGTTTCTAAAAAAGCCTTGCACAAGGACAGCATCCTGTTGGTCTGTGCTTTGCAGAACCTGGCAGTATCCTTGTTGGAGGACTCTAGTCTGGCATGGCAGAAGGAAAACCCACATGGCTGCCGTCCCAATTAGGGCCAGAGTGCACCGCAGGGCTGGAACCCTTTTGCTGCAGTCTTGGGTTGCTTTCTCCCCCCCGCCCCCTGGCCAATCGGCAGATTCTGGCAACCGCCTGGGCTTGCCTATTAGGTGGACTGCCCGCCTGCTCTCTTGGCAGGACGGTGGCTGGCCTGGCAGTGTGCTAGCTTACGTCTTGGCTGGGCTCTCGTCTTCTGTTCAAAGCGAATTCTTAATTATCCAGCCCTAAGCCCGCTCCCTGCAAATGAAAACAAAAAAAGGATCTCCTATTCAGGACAGCTGCTGAGTTGGCCGGCCGAAGGGAACCGAAATAGGAACATCCAGAGCAAAGAGCAAATTAAGGTATCGCAGGCGACAAGGGCTGTAAAGGCATGCCGGCGGGGTGGGGGCAGTCAATAGGCACTGCCATTTTATTTTACTTTTGAAAAAAATAAAAGTAATTGTACGGGAAATACATTTTTAAAGGGAAGGGAAGTAATGGCGCAGAAAAGGGCATTGCCACGACAACCAGGCAATTCCGCCTGAGTTTTAAAATCTTGTCAATCCCCCCCCCTTTGTAAAAACTCTTGGCTGCAGTTCTGGCAAGCACTTAGCGGAGGTACCTTAAGCTTTGACTCCCACTGTCATTGCAAGTATGAAATTGGCTTTTATAACCTGAACTCTGGCTTCACTGGCAACTGCTTTAGGGTTGTGTGCAAAAACAAAACAAAACACAGTTAAAAAAATTAAATCAAGTTTTATTTAAAAGTCGAAAGGTTCCTGCCTTTTCCTGTTTCTTTAATAAAGTCCCTTCTGTAAAAATAAAAATAAAAAATAGCATTCTGACTCTCAGAAATCAACTTTTCCCATGGCACCTTATGCCCATAATCTGGGTGCCTGGTGCCTGGCTGGAAAGTCACAGGACTCCTGGCCAAAATGGCCTCGGGAGACCACAGACCAGAGGTTCTCCATCTCTTGTCCTTTCGTATGAGAGCATTCTTCCTCCCTCAGTTACAGGAGCACAAGCTGCCTGGGACATCAGTCCAGGAAGCTTCATAAACGAAACCTTTAGATCTGCATAGCCCATCCCATTTAATGGTTGCCTGGATTAATTGGGCTGTTATCAGGTGATAAATTTGTTAAGTTAAACGCTGGCTCCATCAGGAAACGGTGGCAAGGCCTCATTAGCTTCGCTGCAGCTACAATGGAAACCTACTGTGCTAATAAGCCCACATGAAGGGCTGCCGTCTCCAAATGTTAGGCTATCCTCTAGGCAGGTCTTTCAAGCATATGGTTAAGCGCCAATAAAATCTTAACGCTTCTAATTCCCATTGGGTTTCATAACCTAACGCAGCCGCACTTGCAAGGATTTCTCTGCTTGCCGCGGAAGCTGCAGGTGCCACAATCGTATCCTGTTTCCGGAGAGCTGGGAGAGGCAAGGGAACATTGGGAGTGAGTGCGCCCTTGTTTTCCTTAGTTACCAGAAGACTTGAGTGCGCAACCATTGGGGAAGGCATGGAGCATCCTTTTGCAGTGGCCTTAGGCTTTTACAGTGCAATCTGACCCATTGTGGAGGAGAGGGCTATCACTGGCTACTAGTCACGATGGCTGCAGTCTTCCTGCAGAGTTCGAGGCAGCAATGTTTTCAAATACCAGTTGCGTGTCGAGGTCCCCAAGCCAAATCACAATTCACACAGAATTATGGTTTAAGGTTTTTGGCATAATTTTGGCCACAACTTTATTAAAATACATAAATGTGAGTGGTTGCTTAGGCATTGGTTCCGACTATCTGTCCCTGTCCAGGGACAGAACTGACTTCCAGATTCCAGCGAAAGCCAGTTAGGGGAAAAAATATTGGGGAGAAAATGGAGCCGGGCACGAGACCCTCACCTCTCCCCGCATGCTCCCAGGGGCTTGCGCGGCCCAAGCCCCACGCCAGGGATTCGGATGAGGGGAAAAGCAGAATATCAGACCACTGACCCATCTATCACAGGACTGTCTGCATTGACTAGCAGTTGCTCTCCAGGGTTTCAGGCAGGGACCAATTCTTAGCCCTCCCTGGCAATGGATTGAACCTAGGACCTTCTGAATGCAAAGCAGATGTTCTTCCACTGAGCTATGGCCCTTCCCTGTGTTTGGTATTGCTAGATGTTATCAGGAGGAAGAGGAGGATGAGATGCAGAGCTCCTGCTCTCGGTGTCAGCCACACACCCTCCATTGCATCCAAGTTCTGGCCTTTGGTTCCCACCTCATGGGAAGAGATGGGGATGCAGTGTCAGCATGAAGAAAGATGCTCTGGCTTTCTTTGAGCTCTCCATCAGAGTGTCTCAGTCATTGTGTCATGGCTCTTGCTGGTAGCAGGACCAAGAACTCTGTTGCACCATGTTCCTTGCACAGACAAGGTGAGCTGCCACGAGCAGATGGCAGCACTTGTACATCTCTGTCATGTTCTTAGGTAATGAAGAGAACCACTGACTCTTCTTTTATCAGTCAATACTCTCTTTGCAAGCAAGTGGCCCTCCAAACACGAAAAAAAGTGTGCTGTGTTGTGTATCGCATAGGATTTGGCTAAGGTGGTAGCTGAGTTTCACGTGATATCTGAATTTTACATGGTTAAGATAAAGTCCCCCTGCAAGGTCAAAAGCTTGATAATGCAGGCAAGCAGCATTATCACAGTTCAATTACATATTTCAGCAAGGCAAAAAGCACCCAAGGAAGGCATGTTGAGGGGTCTTGAGAGAATCCTGAGGGCCAGATAGAGAGGATTGGAGGGCCACATTTGGCCTCCATGCCTGAGGTTCCCCACCACGGGGCTAAACCACGGCTAATGCCAACAAGAAAGGGGATGGGAGGGATTTGCCCTGGAAAGGGAAAGAGACAGGTAAAGGGAGGGATGTATCTGATTTTGGCCCATTGGGAAAACACACCTGTTTTTGAATCTGAAAGGGATACCCATGTTAGTCTGTTGCAACAAAAGCAAGGAAGGTCAATCAATCAATCAATCAATCAATCTTTATTGCGGTCAAAGACCAGACAGAGCAAGGAAGGTTCTTGTGGCACCTTAGAGACTGATCAGTTTTTGGGTGCCATAAAAGTTTGCAGACTAGAGCCCAGTACATCAGATGCATAAAGTAGAAAAATATATGAGTATTAGGGGGCAGGGGCAGGGGCAGGATGGGTTGTAAACAGTGTAGTCAAAAGGCCATGAAACACAAGAGATGCTGCCTATGACATTTCTATGCAAAGCTCAGACATTAGGGCAATGCCTTGATTAGGCCAACGAAAATGTCACAAAACAGTGTTCAAGCTTCCATGTTCTCCAGATAAGATAAGTACAAAGACCATTCTCAACTGCAGGAATTAGTGAAAACAAAAGCATTCTAACTGAGATATTGCATTACTAGTTTTTAATCTTTTATTTGCTTATGTAACTTAAATATTTTGGGGAAATAGAGAAGATATTTTAAAAGGGTCACTGAGCCCCATCCTGTTCTCTCTTTCCTGCCCCCACCCCATTTAGCACTGGTCTGGTTCACACACAACACTAAGCCATGGTTTGCTTAGCCAAAGCGTAGCTTGTCTGACACCCAGCCCAATCAACTAACCATGGATGTTTCCTGGCAATGAACCACAATCTGAAACTATGGTTTGTGGTTGACTCACAAACTGTGGCTTGGTTTGGCATTGTGTCCAAATCCAACAACTTTGCTTTGCCATGGTTTGCTTGAACACCCACCAAGGATGCTCACCAAGCAATAGAAACACAAGACAAAACAATCTGTGACTCATTTGATCTTTTGTGAGGCTACTTGTAGTTTATTGAACAATCCATAGTTAAAAGAAACTATGGCTTAGTATTATGTGTGAGCGTACCCACAGTGTGCTAGAAGCTAACTATCTCCCTATCAATCTTAAACCAAGGTGTTTTGTTTTTTTCTGTTTTGTATTATTTTTTATCCTTGAAATCAGGGGTGGGAAACCTGGACTCTCAACTCCCATCATCCCAGACCATTGGCCATGATGGCTGGGGCTGGTGGGAATTGGAGTCCAGAACATCTAAGTAGACAGAGGTTCCTCATCCCTCCTTTAAACAGTTGGAAGCTGCCACAGGAGGAGGAGTTGGCAGGATTCAAATCCATGAACAATATTTGTGGTTTTAAGGAAATGCATTTTCCAGACAAAGCATTCAGAATGGCCCTTTTTAAATAGAAAGATTAAGTTACCAAGTCTGATGATGTCCTTGTCTGTCTGTTCTCACTCCTGCCCCAATGAAGAGAAGGGCTGTTTGGGTCTGTATTCATTCCAGGCAGAGCTCCTATGGAGGCTGCACTGAGCTTTGCTTTCTTTCGTTTTAATATCTCACACCCCCACTCCCCACCCCAAATTGCTTCCCTGTTGATGCATTTTAACAACTTAGTGGGAAGGTTTCTGCTCAAGAGCCTAACTTTAAAGATGAAATAACTCAGCTACATTTTAGAGCTCACGTTTTGAATTCAAAACGTTTCCAGAATTGCATTTGAAAATAGGAAGTTTTGAGAAAAGAAAAGAAAATGGTATAGTAAAGTGTTTCTGATTACGGTTAGAGGACTTTGTTGCAAGTTGCCACATTCAAGAAAGTTTTGCACCTTGTTTCTGTCTCCCCCCCCCAAAAAAAACACCCCTCAGTCATTTAGTACAATATAATTAATGTTGAGGAAAATATCAAATATAAATTCAACTGTATGGCAAACACATTAAAACTGGAATAATTTGCATGAGAATTTCCCACAATATCCCTCTCAGCTCTCTTGTGTAGAGCTGCGAGACTGTAAATTAAGGCTGCTTGGATGTTCCATCTTTTGACTTTGAAGTCTCTGCCTCCACCCAGCTGCCCAGTGCTTGATCTATAAAGTCTGGAGGTTGTAGTTTTCCTCATTCCTCATTTTTTAAAAAAACACTCAGAGTCGCTTGCCGTAGGAATGATACTCTGCTAAAAGCAGAGTTTGCAGTACTTCGCAATTATTAGAACACATATACACACTCACAATCCTTTTGCACCAGCCTTCAGATGTTTGGGGCTATAGCTCCCAGCCAACATGGTCAGTGGTCAGGGATGATGGAAGCTGTAGTCAAGAGCATCTAGAGGGCATCTGGTTGGGGAAAACCAACGTAACATCATTATCATAATCATCATCCAGTAATATTAACTATTTCCAGTCCCCTTGAATTGACCTTCAGCTTGGGATAGATGCGTTGCTTTCTCCAAGAAAGCTTTCTTCTCTTAATGCCCACCCGCTCCTTAGCATTCAAACCTGGCTGGTTTTATGTGATCCATGCCCAAAAACTCAATAGTTGCCAACCTTGCCTCCCCCTTCTGGCCTGATTGCAGGCAGCTTAGAGATGGGATTCCATTACGCTGTGCAGAAAAGGTACACACACACAAACACAAAGACACACACACACACACACACACAAAGACACACACCACCCCTGTCTTCCTGTTCCATGGCACTCACCAATGGCATGATTCAGTTGGCCTGCCAAATCTAAGCCAGTCATCAAAACCCATCTGTGTTCAGGAAGATGATTGCCGCTCCATGATTCCAAGGCCAAGTCATGATGGCTCATGTCTTTGCCCCAAGTCAGTGGTTTTCCAATGGTGAGATGGTCTACCTTAGGAGCATTCTCAGGGGTTCCTCAATGAGAATATCAGTAATGGTGGGCAAGGAAGACGCTTCGCCCGCTAATACTGATCTTGCTCGGCAATGCATTATTGCAGGATATTTTGGGTTGAGTTCCAGGATGCCCTCTTCGCAACAGGGCAGTATAGCATATGGTGCATGGCACAAGGTACAGCAGCCTTGCTAAGACTATGTATATCTGGGACTGATCAGTGCCTGGAAAGGAGACCGTGTTAGGAACCCTCTGTACTCTGTCTTGAGCTCCATCCCAGACGAAAGGTGGGCTGTAAATTAAACCCATGATGCCAGATGATGACGCCTGAGAGCCCTGGCTAACATGCCACGTAAGCTAACTCTGTGCCCCAAAACAGATCTCATAAACTTCCACAATGCGCAGAGCTTCTGCAGCAGGGAAGATAAGCTGGGGCAGGGCTTCCCGAAGGCAGGAGATTTGAAACCCACCACCCTAAGCTAAATGAGCCAATGCGATGTTCATGCAATCTCCAGCTGCATGTGCCCTGCTGTGTATTTCCAAATAACTGTGGTTTAATTCAACAGGTTTGTAGGAGAATTTACAAAACTAGGCAAAATTTCCGCACTTCGGAATTTCAGGGTATTGAGAGCTTTAAAAACTATTTCGTACATTCCAGGTAAGAAGCCCTGATCCTTGCATATCTGCTCTCAGCTACAATTGACTTTTTTTCCTGTCCCTCCCCAAACCCTTCTTTCTCTCTCTCTTCTCTTTCTCTCTCTCTTCTGCTGTCATTACTTTGCTGGCGTTGTTGTCACGGTCTTCTTCTTGTGTGTGACTTTCCCTTGTTTGCAGATACATAACTGAATTTGTGGACCTGGGCAATGTATCAGCCTTACGAACGTTCAGAGTTCTTCGCGCGCTGAAAACAATCTCAGTCATTTCAGGTGAAAAAAACAATTTGAGGTTAAACACTTGGGCTGCGTGCACTCACAGAAGCTTATGCGCCATTCCCCGTAGCAAAACGGCTGTCGGTAGGACACAGCTTGAAATAATGAACGGCACTTGACCTGGGAATGGATGAGTGTGGGGAATGGGTCCTGTCAATAGAATACTTTTTTTTCATATGTTTACCCCACTCCCGGCAATTTTTGGTGGAGGCATCAAAGGCTCTTCAGGGCTCTGAAATTTCCCAGCCCATGACATTCATGAGCCGAGAATGCGCATTGCAAAGTTTCCCGCAGCCCTGTTTTCATACAATTTGGGAATGGGAGTCCAACAAATTCAGATTGGCTAGTTAGACATAAATGACTAAATCTGAGTGGGTTGCTTCTCTCTCCCCTCCCCCACTCTCTCTTTAAATAATAATATAAAAATCTTGGGGTAAATGGCAACATATGAAAAAAAAAATCAACCACGAGAAAAAAATGCAAGGCCGATCAATATTGTTTTTGTCAGTTTGCTGACCTCCAGGCTAAATTAAAACCGAATGC